GCGACAGAGAGAGACGCATAGGAAGAAACTGATGGACAATGAGAAGTTGAACATTTCAAGATACATACTAGGAGCAACGAAGAAGATCAGGGGAAATGGGTGTATCCTAGCTGCCTACCACTTTGGGTAAGTCGAAGACATGCCTGTAGATATAAGTGGGTAGCTAGCTAGTATTATTATTTCTCGTCAGAACTCAGTATTTTGTTTCAATGGCGCATGCGACCAAGGCCTCGAGGGTCACCGGGTTGCATTTATCATCTACCCTCGGGATGGCGGGGCTCTGCGTATTTGATTAGATTGATGATTGCCAAACTTAAAAGGGTACAAGGCCTTTGAAGATTGCCTCAGAGTGTAAGTAACTGAACTGTCTTCTCATATGCGTTCTAATGCCCTGCCTAATACTAGTAAATTTCATATAGCGCTTATAAGGAGTACGTGAAGGATCCTGAATGCTCTGATCGAAGAACAGAGAAATTTAAGGCTAAGCATAAGAACCGCATCAAAATCAGACGCAACTTTCCGATAAGTATTTGAAAGGTTTAATTGTGCTTTCCGTTCATATGTGTTCTAATGCCTATGTTGTAATGCTTACGTATCGATCATGCAGCGTGCCAAACAACCGGTAGGATCATAAACCTGTGGCTTCTACGCCTGTGAGTTTCTGAGGGTGTGCAAGCAGTATAGCAGCAGTTGGAGGGTGCTCAAGAATGGATTGAATTGGTCGAGAGACATGTAGAGCATCCAACACAGCTTCAAGCAGACAAAGGCAGACATATGTAAGTTTGTCTTAGACAAATGCGTGCTTGAAGGGGGCACGTTCTTCTATGAGAACAGCCCGCTAGCGATTTTACCGGAGTACGAGAGGCTGAGGAAATGGCCCACGATGATGCGTCCACAGGATTACACCTTAGCGCATGTATAACGACTTTAATATGTAAATGTAATGAATTAACGATGAAAAAACGACGAAATGAATGTATATATATATATTATCTCATGTGTAATGCCTGCATACTTTTTAAGTTTAATCTGTGAAATATGGATGTGATTTGGATTTGAATTTGAATTTATATGCATGCTGTATTTTATTTGAATTTATATGCCTGCTGTATTTTTTTTAATTCAGGAAATAATTTACTGAGGCGGGCAAATAATAAAGCACGCCACGGCTAATACACATAACCGCGGCGGGCCACAAAATGTGTCCGCCGCGGTAAAATAATTTACCGTGGCGGGCGGTGTAACGTGCCCGCCGTGGTAAAAGAATATTTACCGCAGCGGGCACGTTACGCCGCCCGCCGTGGTAAATCGGTTAACCACGGCGGACAAAGCCGCCCGCCGCGGTTAAGCCACGATTTACCGTGGCCTCTAGGCCGCGGCGGATGGCTTTGCCCGCCGCGGGAAACCCAAATCGCCCGCCTCCAGTAAAGTTTGTGTAGTAGTGCATCGTAGTCCTAGTGTAACTCTCTCGTACGGCTCCATCTTCATGTATACTCCGGGTATCCTATCCTTGCGTAGCTCCAGTAGTTTTCCGTCCTGGTATGTCCTCTTATGGCTTCTCGCCTAAAAACATAGAATGGAGGAGGTTGAGTACATAAATTACTCAGCAAGCCCTATACTTTGGGTGGAGGTAGGTGGAAAGGAAGGCTTTTATGGTGGAGGTGGGTTATGGTGGTGGTGGTTGAGGTAGAAGTGGTAGGGTGAAGTAATTATAATTATAGGTTGGGCCCTGGGAGAGTATTACCATTCTTGCCAGTTTCTGGAGTTAATTACAGTTACCAAATTAGTAAAATATATCTTATCAGATTATCACATGTGTAGAAATCTAGTCATAGTATCCCATCCTAGCATCTTCCCATTCCAAGGACGTGGCTATTAGAATAGATTCAATAAACTCTATAGAGGTGTATAAATTTCCCCACATAATAAGCACAGCCTCTAACCATGTACAGTGGCAGAAACAGGCCTAATGAGATCCCGTACCTGCTTGGGTGCTACCCTAGACTTTCATAAAACTCTACCATGACTTCTCAGGGGTTGGAAAACACACAAATCTAGGATGATACCTAATCATCCCAACACGATGATACCAAATCATCACAATAATCAATAATAGTCATGGGCTCGAACGCGACCAAAATCAAGGGGCTTAACGTGGAACCTAGCATCCACGCCAACCGAACCATGGAAGATCACATAGCATCCATGTCTGCTCCTGATATTCCGTTTCCATCATCGGCCTCCTAGTAGAAATTATACTTCCACCCAATGAGGTGTGAGATCTAGTCTACCCATATAGACATGTGGCTATACGTAACATCGCACTAGGCGAGAGGGACTATGAACCGGTCTTATATGATCAAGGTGAGTATCTTTCAACAGGAACCCTCACTAGGCGAACCTGCCAAGGTAACTTGTACCACACAAATTACCCCTCACTCGCCCCCTATCAGGGTTTAGTCAAGTTTTACCAGTTTAGGTTTCATAGTTATTATCCTCAAGTTCATTAAGCTCGTATCATATCAAGGTAACCATTACCTTATCATCATTAATCACATTATCATGTTCAAGCTCATAATGATTCCATTATCTCATGATGAGGATTTAAGTGTAATAGGTTTAGGTTATTAATTGGTGGAGATGGGGAGAAGGGTTTATGGTGGAGCCTAGCAAAACGTGGTGGTGGTGGAAGAGGAGGTGGTTAAGGGATGGTGGTCAAAATGGAGGGAAGGGATAAGTGGGTGTTAGGACTTGCCTCCATTCGCTGACGATTATATCCTCGTTCGATTCCTATGTGTCCTGTTTCTGTCTTCTGGACTCCAACGGGTTCTCTCCACGTCTTCTACCCTATGCAGTCTAGCGTCGGCAAACAAGAAAACACAAACAAGGAAAATAACCAGTAAGGCATGTAAAACAAGCATAGACAATCAATCGATCCTAGATGGGTTCGTCCTAGTCGGGTGATGGGTTGTTATCTAGGGTTATCACTATTACGTCAACCTGAAGTAAGGTTGGATGTAAAGGGATCCATCCAACAAGGTGGCTCCTACGAGCTAGGTTAGTGTGGTGCATGATGGAAAACCATACCACGTTATTATGGTTCACTATTATGTGAACCTAAAGGAGAAAGCCTGACCAAGTCATCATAGATGACTCGTCTAACTTTCATAGGTCCACCGGATTAGCGACACATACGCGCATGCATATGTATGTGCCTCGGGTTAGCCAGGTTAGAGAAAGGGTGGAAGATAAAGTTAGCCATACATAGGCGTATACCCGGGTATCGGGCATATCCTTGTATGTATACATATCCTATTATTTTATGTGATTCGACGCGAGTATACTCGAGTACGTGTCATGGTTCATACACATACGCAAATATACGGGTAACTACTACTACGGCGAAGGGTATTATATTTATCTACGTGAGAGAGTGTAGGTGTAGCTATCGACACACATATTATCTATATATGTGGGTTTATATCTACCGCGTATGTATTACTACCGTGTATATATTTGCATGGGTGCAAATATATTACTACTTCACATGTTATATTTATCCATGTATTTATATATGGAGTATAGTGTATATATATACACGTGGACATATGCGGCTACGGGATATTAATTAATGGACGCAACTACAAATTAATATTTAAATAAGGAAAAGAAAAGCAATCATATCTAGAATTTAAATGGGCACCAAAAAATAGGAAAAGGCATTTCAATATGTAGGGTTTTATTTTAAAAGATTTATGGTGAAAGAATTACGGAATTCGGAATTACGACGAAAAAGATATAAATTATTAAAGTTTATCGGCTAATCGCGAATGGAAATGAACATGCACAATTATTTCTACAATTTTATCTAATGAAAATGAGTGACAATTATCTAGGTATGATCTAGGGTGACTCTAGTTCATTTTAGTATTTTTCTGGGAATTTTTCTATAGTTAAAAGCTTACCTTTTAATCTACTGTGTACAATCCCGTAGGCACATTGCATTTTCTCCCTGGGCTAGTGGCTGACGCGTGGGCCTGGTCAGTGGTCCAGGCTGGCCAGTACTGTGCCGAGAACCGTTCTGTGAACCAGCCTCTGTGGTTCACGTGCACCCGGTCCATGGAGGGACAGAAGGAGGGAGCCAGTCAAGGCACTGACCAGCGGGGCCACAGGTGCATGCGTGCTGCGCCCGATTGTCTCCGACAACCGCGACATCAAAATACAACGTCCATTCATCCTTTAGGTAGCGCTACAGACAAAGTGTTCAATATCTATTTTTGATCTTCTCTAACAAGAAGACCTAAAAGACAACCATTTCCGCAAATAGGTTTCCAGAAGATAGGATACTTAGGCTTGGGTTATGGCCCCGTTCGCTCGGAGGAATCTGGAGGAATTTGTGAGAGAAAAATATTATTTCGGATGAAAAAGAAGCGGATCAAGCTGGGTTTAAGGATACGCGAATGAGTATTTTGTTGTAGGCTAAGTATTGTGTCAGAGAACATTTTTGGTTTGCGCAGCAATGAGTCTCCTGATATCTAAATTAGGTCTCTTATATAGGTATTTTGTTATAGGCTAAGTACTGTGTTAGAGAACATTTTTGGTTTGCGCAGCAACAGGTCTCCGAGAGAGCCTTATTGGCCGTATCGACGTGGCCAGGCGCTCGGCTCTGGGCGCCTTCGGGTGAACGCGTCCGCCTCCAATCCCTTCCGTGTGGACAGAAAGAGAAACAGAGAGGGAGAGGAAGAGCAGGGGTGAGGGAGGGGCAGGGCGGCAGCGCATGGCTGCGGCGTCGGTGGCTGGTGGCCACATCGAGGGGTGGGCGCGAGGGCGGAGCGAAGGAGGAAACGCTGGGCAGCGACTACGGTGGGCGGAGGCGAGCGCGGGCGGTGCTCGTCTTCGGGTGAGGCGGCGGCGGCAGCTTGGCGCGGTGGAGGCAGGGCAGCGGCAGCGGCAGCGCTGGGCGAAGAGCAGGGCAGAGGGAGAGCGAGGAGAAGCAGAGCATGGCGGCGGCGGCGGCAGCGGCTGCGACGACTAGCGAGCGCGGCGCGGCGGTGCTCGGCCCCGGCGAGCAGAGGAGGAGAGGGAGGGAAGAAGAGGGAGCAGAGGAGGTGCGTCGGTGGTGGAGCAAGGCCAGGGCGGCATCGACTTGGACTGCGTCAGCTTCGGCGCGGTACTGCAGGCCTCGTGCCGGCCTTGGTCGTGTCCACGCGCGGCGCGAGAAGCAGAGCAGAGGGGGGAGAAGGGGGAAGAAGCAGGTGAAGGGAAAGAGTAGAAGGAGAGCAGAGCAGAGCACGGCAATGGCGGCGTCGTTCGTCCCAGCTTCCCCCGGCAACCTCAACGCCCTCGTGAGCTCACCGGCGCCGGCCATTTATAGGCGGCGTGAGGCGGTTAGCCGGGAGAAATATCTCCGGCGGCCAGCGGTGACGCTCGTACGGCAGCGGCGACGTGTCGACGGAAATCCGGGAGGAGATAAGGTTGCCAGCTGTGAAGGTCGGTGCGCGAAGGAAATATCTCCGGCAACGGCTTTCACGTGCTCGGAGGCGGCAGCGCGGACGCGGAGCTCCCGCGGTGGCGACGCGGAGAAGACGCGGTGGCGCGCTGCGACCTGGCCAAGCTGGGCCGCTGGCTTGCTGCCGCCTGGGCAGCATGGGAGAGGGGAGGGCTCGGCCCATGTACACAGAAGACGTTTTCGTTTATATGAAAAAAATGAATTTCCTTTGTAGATAACAGATAGATGTTGTATTTCTAATGTAACCATGTATGTATATGTGTATATGCATTATTTATTTTGTAAATAATAGATAGATGGAGTATTTCTGGTCACTAGAAAATCAAAGAATGTAATATAATATATTTGTATTTTCTAATTATAATTAATAGGTAGATGATGTAAATCAAGAAATGTAATGCAATACTTTTATATTCATGATGTATCTCCTAAATATTATATACCCTTTTATGACTATGATTAAAAGTAATGATTTCATATTTCTAAATATCCTATTGTAACTATGATGCAAATTAAGAAGAAAGATTAACCATATAATTAATAGTGAGATGGCCTAGATAATTAAGAAGAGAATATAGCAAAATATGCATGATGTATTTCTAAATATTAGAGACTAATTACGAAATACGTTTGCAATCTATAAATCAGTGAAGGATTTAATTTAACTAAAATGTAATTTGAGAAGGGAGCATTAAATCTATAATTCACTAGTGTGATGGCTATTATAATTCCTAGTTAGTTAAGCAGAGAATAAAATATTGTTTATATCTATGATGCATTTTCTACTACTATAATATAATGAAAAGGTTTTAAATAATTCAAGACTGCAATTGATGATTAAGAAATGTTATTTTGGTGACGCAAATAAATTCCAGAAAAGCAATCACACAAGCATTCGAGCAATCAAGCATTCAATCAGACACTCAGGCATTCAAGCAATCACGCAAGCATTCAAGTCACTCTAATATTCTAACCTAAATGCATATGGTGAGTTTTGATACAGGGTTTTTGGAAAGCATTTTATTTACAAAGCGGTTTTTGCAGGAATTAAACTAATCAAGTTTTAATTTGTTGTAAAGTTTTAAAAAGTTTAAATTTTTAGTGGATTTTAACATGATGTAAAAACACGGGTGTTACAGGGCTCCTCCTCGCCGGATCCGTCACCGAAATGAACCCGCCGCCACGCCCCTCCACCGGATCGAGCCACGCCGCCACACCACCGAGCTCATGCCACTGTTGCAGGTACCCGGCGCCCCTCATCCGTGCCTCCCTTCTCGAGCATGCGGTGGAGGGCTCCCCGGCCCCGCCTCACCACCCTCGCGAGCCACCGCCGGGGCCTAGCGCCAGCGGCCAGCTGGGGCGTGAGCGCCTCCCGCCGCCGTAGGACAGGGCCCTACACGAGAGGAGAGAGAGAGTGGTCGCTGGTGAGGGAGAGAGAGAGGGGGCCTTGCGTGACGGTGGTGTGCGTCAGTGGGTGAGGGAGAGCCGAGAGAGGAGAAAGAGAGGTGGGGTGCGACGGTTGGTGAGGGAGAGCCGAGAGAGAAGGAGAGGTGGGGTGCGGTGGTGGGGGAGAGAGAGGACCACTGTGGTGTGCACTCTGAAACCCTAAGTCACATATATATACATGAACACAGTAATGGGTTGTCGTGTGTTAGTGGGCTGGGCCTGATTTACGAAGGCAAACGCCTTACAAATGCCCACCTCCATAAATGATTTACCGAGGCGAACACTTTTTACCGTCTTGGTAAATAAAATATCTGCTTCAGTAAATGTATTTTGCGAGACGGTCAACTGTGACCGCCTCCGTAAATTAAAACGTCTGCCTCCATAAATCCTGAGGTATTTTATGAGGCGGTTGGATTTTGTGACCGCCTCGGTTAATGTTTTGGTAGTGCCTCGCAAAATCATTTGTGTAGTAGTGATCTCTAGACATGTAGTGAAAACTATGTACCCAAAGAAAGCAAAAAAAGGTACTAGGAGCAGTATACATGGTAACCGCCGTGTTACATTTCACAAACAAAATAACTACTGATTGACTGCTTAAAATTACATTACATTTTGTTTATATAATGGTAAAGCAATAAATCAGCTTGCGAGAAACAAGTGGTATCATACGAAATTGAAAATGAGTGATGTGCTTTCAATAGAAGATTGTGAGCCCTCATGCTATGCTGTACACATAATTATGAATCATTACTCCAACTATTTGATGTGTTTCCAAGAACATTCCATTTCCGGTATTGCATTTCTCATTTCCCATATCCATCCATGGTAGTACATGCATTAGAATTTCAGGTGCAGCTGCTGTGCTGCTAACTGACTTTCCTTCTCCTTCTGAATCCAGTCCAGGATTGAGCCTCGCAGCTGCAATGGCGCATGTGCAACCCACAGGTTGAGGAATTGAGAGAAAACATTTGGCTGACTCCCAAAATCCTCATGTTGTCGCTGCGACATCTTTCGTTTCCTAGCTCCCCCAACAGTTACCGATGTTCTCATGCTTGTTCTGAGTGTGCTTGCTTTCTCCACCTGAATGTACGCAGTGCCATGTTCAGACTTCCAAAACATTTGGTGGACTGTTGCTTTGGCATTCTTGTGGAAGTAATCTATCGCTTTTGGCAGCATAATCTCTTCTAGTTGTTCCAAGGAAATGTCTGTATGCAAGACATGCTGGCGTTCACCCTCAACTGCTGCTAATGCAGAGCATGTACCTGCAGGAAGCATGTCTTCTATTGAATTGTGGGGTGCAAAGGCAATTCCAACTTCCAGATATGCAGAATCCTTCAGAGAACTTTGATGTTCAGACAATGGGGGCCAACGTTTGTTGCACTCTGACGGTAAGACTTGGCCCTGCAAAAACAGGTAACTAAGGCCCTGTTTAGTTCCATCAAATTCCCAACTTTGACACTATGCAAATAGAAGATTCCCCATCACATCAAACTTGCGGTACATGCATGGAGTACTAAATTTTGACGAAATCAAAAACTAATTGCACAGTTTGGTTGTACTTTGCGAGACGAACATTTTAAGCTTAATTAGTCAACGATTGGACAATTATTACCAAATAAAAACAAAATGACACTGTAGCCTAACTGGTTCTAGAGAAACATCTAGTGATCCTGATGTGTACAATTTGCTACTACGACAAAGCTTGTGCTGATTATGCTGCTTGCAACATAATGGGTTTGGGCGAAACCACTGGGTACTAAAGCAATTAAGATTGTCCCTGTGTTTATTGATTTTTTTAATTTTAACACTTTTTGTAAACTAATTCTAAATCTAATACCATCGGTTTTTTTAAATTAACACTTTTGGCCGCGCCTATTGCCCTGAAGCGGCCAAATGCCTGTGTCGCGCCATGCATGGTGGCGCGGCAACGAGCTGACGTGGCGACGACCGAAATCGCTGACCGCTGACGTGGCAGGGCCTGCCGCGCCATCCATCACAGCGTGGCAGGGATCGACTTGAATGCATGTGACTGTAAGTCTGCAACACTACTGAAACAACAGCAGAAGCAGCCTACACGCAAGCTACGAACAACGATGGCCTGTCGCTATCGGAGACAAAGACCATCGTATCGACCTTGACGCCACTGTACCTTTTGGTTTTTTATCCATCCGCTTTTTTACCATCAGTACGGTGAGGTCGTGGTGAGGATGCTAAAGCGGCAAGGTACTGCAGCACGCGTCACAGTAGTACTAGTTTATTTGTTTTTTTTCTCCATTCTCAAATCAGTGAATCATCTCTTAAAGCCAAATGTCACTAAGTTGCTAGCTAGATTAAATAAATGTAATATTATATCATCCATTTAGACATTTAGCATTTGCCCCAGACGAGAAGAGGTAAAAACAATTGCTAGTCTTTTTATGCCGATAACGAGGACCTTTATAAACTTTTATATATTTTTGTCAAACCTATGGCTCGGCGGATTGGCCCCTCTATATATGGATCCTGGCTCCGTTCCTGACAAGAAGCTATGCCAAATTAACTATAAAAATGACAAATAATATATCAACTTCTAAACAAAAAAAACATGTACTCTCTTTGTCCAAAAAAAATACAATTGTAGCTTTGAACCTGTTTTTTTAGGGAGTAGAGCCGATGAGCAAATAATGCACAATGCAAGCAAGCAGGCACACCAATACATCATCATCCACTGCGTCAACGCGCGTCAACTGCCGGACGTATGGTCATCATATGGCATCAACAGAGTTTCCAGTGTTCACGCGGTCTCCTGTGCCTCCCTGTTCACAGTGAGAATGGCCATAAAATTATGAGAAACGAAGTGTGATTTAATTATATCCTACAAAACAAGACCTTTTTAGTTTCTCCCCTAAAGTTACTCTCTATCCCATCAAATGTTTGGACACATTAAATATTAAATGTAGACTAAAAAATAATTAATTACACGGTTTGTGACTAATTTACGAGACAAATATTTTAAGTCTAATTAGTCAATTATTCGACAATGTCGTGTTACAGTAACACATATCTTGACGCCGACCTCACACACACTCAATCCAGTTGAGCTCGCGCCTCCCATTTAGCCTGTTCGGTTGGCTGGTTCGTATCGTTGCTGGTTCGTGAAGAAGTACTGTTGGCTGGTTTGTGTGAGAGAAAAATACTGTTCCAGCTGGAAATTTACGATCGTATACGACAAGCACAAGCCAAACGAATAGGCTGAGAAAAGCAAAGCTGGCCAATATGCGGTCGACAGCACACACCCCTGCGGTCCCCAGCGCATGCACGCGCTCCTGTCCTGCGCGGCTCTCCCTCTCTCGCAGAGTGCAAGCCACTCTTTCTCACAAAGTCAAAGGAGCAGCAGTATGCAAGCGGGCCCCGCAGCTATTCCAGGCGCTCTCTCACCAGAAGGAAGCGGAGCAGGCAGCACCTCTCAACCCCTCGTCACGTCGTGTCCCTGTCACGTATGTCTCCTGCACCACTGCACGGCTCCCAGCTGGCACGTCGTCTTAGAGCGCAGTAGTACCTGCTGCCTACTAGTACGCTGCTTGCATTGTCATTCTGCTCGATGGGTGATTGATGAAGTGATGATGATAATATATGTATTATTATACTCCCTCTCAAGCGTTTTTGTACGAAATAGGTACTGTTTATATTACTCCAGTGGTGACAGTATACTACCTCTGTTAAAAAAAAGAATGTAACTATCCCTTGCATGCCAGTTAAATTAGTTCACATTTTACTAAGGCTTGTTTAGTTTCCAAAAAGTTTCTCAAAAAGTGCTGCAGTAGCCATCACATCGAATCTTGCGATACGTGCATAGAACATTAAATATAGATGAAAAAAAACTAATTGCACAGTTTGGTTGGAAATTGCGAGACGAACGTTTTGAGCCTAATTAGTCAATGATTGAATACTAATTGCCAAATAAAAACGAAAGTGCTACAGTAGCCAAATTTTCAAAATTCGCCAACTAAACACAGCCTAAGTTTCTAATGAATGTTACATGGCTTGGGCGCATGGACTGGCCTGCATGCCTGTGCCGCTTCCCTCTCTACTCTACTCCCTCCTATTCTTGGTAAAAAATGGCTGCAAGCACTGCACATCCTGTGCCAGCACTTTCCTAATGTGCATTGATTGTAGACCATGGTGATTGTAGACCACGCCAGCACCGCTCTTCCAGACGTGCAGTGCCGCAGACCAAGTAGCTGGCTCCTATGCCGTAGGCATGGCAGCACAGCATGCGACTGCTGGCTCCGGCCACATCCTCTCTCCTCGGGTGGCGAGCCCTCCATTTTTAAAAAAGCTAGCCCTGTGGTCAAAGCCTGTCCAATTGCTCTACAGGCCTACATCTAACAAGTCCGGCCGGCATAGGAAGTGACTGCGTCGCTGTGCACTGGCACACGTTCACAGTGACTCACGCACCGTAGGAGTAGCTAGCTGCGACCTGGCCAACAGAGCCAAGCCACGGTCACCGAGGACGACGGGTGGCACCGCATTGGTGCCTACTATGGTTAGGTACTGGCGCGCTCTTTAAATGGTTGCTCGGCGCCAGAATACGTGGCGCCGAGCTCGGCAAACCGGTCACGCCACCTAAGAATCTCTAATGTGTATGGCCAGGCACCTTGGCGTCAAAATCTGTGGCGCCGAGACGTGTTACCTCGGCGCCAAGACTCATGGCGCCGACCCCCAAGGTCCAAAGATGAGTTTAAGTCTCTCAGAGGATCAAATATAAATATTTTTTTTAAAAAAGGGTTAAATAGTAAAAAAATAGGTAGCAAACGTAGTGTCAGTGTGGACACCGCCGCAGCACTAGGCACGAGCCAGTGGATGTGTACTGTAGACCTCATAGACAGAGCCATGTGGCGTCGACAGAAATGACAGTGGCCATGGAGACTCACTCTCCTAAAAAGTTGTGAAGTTTTTCATAAATCAAATATACAAAAATGATCATGGATATTTTGAGAAAAATGTGTTGTACTAATTTACCGTCAGTACCTTTTGGAATTTAAACAAGGCCTAAGATTTGGGAGGGTGACGTGACGCTGCGGCAAACATCATCATCACCGCGTGCTTTTCAGGCCGGTCAGCGAGGCCGCACAGAGCAACCGAGCGGTCTCTTTCGGTCTCTTTCACAGTCCATTCAAGTCGATCCCTGCCGCGCCGTGATGGATGGCGCGGCACTGCCGCGCCAAGATCGGTGGCGCGGCAGACCCTGCCACGTCAACGGTCAGCGATTTCGGTCGTCGCCACGTCAGCTCGCTGCCGCGCCACCATGCATGGCGCGGCATAGGCATTTGGCCGCGCCAGGGCAATAGGCGCGGCCAAAAGTGTTAGTTAAAAAAAACGACGATATTAGATTTAGAATTAGTTTACAAAAAGTGTTAAAATAAAAAAAAAATCTGTTTATTCATGTATGAATCAACACATGGTACCCATGGCAAGTCCTGGATTGGTAGTTGAGTAAGCTCTTTCTTAATAATTTCAACTATAGGCTTGAAATTCGGGGTAAACAACTGCAAGCACTTGATTATGATCCCAACTATATCTGTACTTTCTGAAATCTGTAGCACTACCATAAGGACAAAGTTATTCTTCGGTGTGTTGGTTGTGTTTAGTTGGGTGAAATTTAGGAATTTGGCTACTGTAGCACTTTCATTTTTATTTAGCAATTAGTGTTCAATCATGGACTAATTAGGCTCAAAACGTTCGTCTCGCGATTTCCAACCAAACTGTGCAATTAGTTTTTTTCGTCTACATTTAATGCTCCATATACGTATCGCAAGATTCGATGTGATGGCTACTGTAGCACTTTTTGGGAATTTGGTTTTGGAACTAAACGTGGCCGTTACCATCTTTGTGAATAAATAACAGTGTAGCCTCTATTGCATGCTCTGTTGCAGTGTATGGTGCCAAGCACAGTAGAAATAAATGGTCCTCAGGTCCTTGAGCAAATTTATGTTGCAGTTTCTTGCCTGCAAAAAGGTGGTTGATAAGGGAGTTGATGGTCATGTGTCGGTTTGGTGTGTCTCCAAACTCAACAAATCTCAGAAACTCACTAGCGCCATGTGCAAGCCAGTCAAATCTTTGAACAATGGACCGGCTCAATTGGTTGTCACTGTTGCCAAAGGAGGAGGCGATAAATGACTTGGTAGCATGAGCTATCCTTTTAAGAAAGCTGGAATTCCTCACCTCCTGTTCCATATCTGTTCTTCTTCTAGGATTATACGCTTGTATTTGTGGAGTGTGTCATCACACTCTTTAGCGGCACACTTCAGCTTCTTGTGCCAACGTAACAAGGATGCATCGGTGATGTACCACTTTTCTGATGTCTCAAGAGCAGCCTCCAGCCTGATGTGTGCCATCTCTAGCCTCTCCAAGTTTTTCCGTGCACTAGATTGCCCTTTGTCTTCATATTTTTGAACTATACTGGACAACAGCAGAACTGATGATCTCCGCCATCAGGACTGAAGCAGCTGCAGCAGTCCTTCCCCTGCTCAGAAAAGCAATATAGTAGTATGCATACAAGAGATTAGATATATGAACTTTGGATCAAAAGCAAAGATTTAGCTTTCGGTTGTAAGAATCTTACCCTTGAGTTGCATGAAACAGTGGACAGTTGTCTTGTATGTAGAGAGCGATATTCTGGATGTTAGAGTTGAACTATGAGATAAGGTGATAACTTAAGTAGTAGACAATGTGACACAAGAGTTTGGGAGCAGAAATAGGTAGAGTGGTAGACAAGTCGACAACATAGAGGGGTCCGATAGCAAGGGTTGTGGAATAATTGGCCATCCAGTTTGTAGACATATCTTGGTGGGTGAACTCTAAAGTGTAGGAGAACATAAGAAGACAGTTTTGGTTTCAAAAGGGAAGTTCGGCCCAAAACATTAGCAGGAGAAAAAAAGGGGGTTGACTTCCATATATGTATCCAAGTTCATCTACATTTGATACAAGAATACAACACCCCTAGGGTTAGTAGTTAGGCAATAGGTTTACAATAATTTCGGCGAAATTTCTGAAATATCGCCTTTTTCATTGTGGTCCGACAAAATTTTTATACAGGGCAACATTTTTTGGTTAAATCCATCTTTCACTCCAAAATTACACCAAACCACACCAAAATGGCGCACCATATCCTCTAGCCTCAACAAAGCCCTAAATTTCTTCAAATTTGTTTAACTTCCTCACTCTCATTCGACGTCACTAGCATATGCAGCTCACCCGCCGTCAGCCCGCTGTATTACGGTTGCTCTACTCCGGTGATATATTGTGTTATTTCGTCGGTGATATAAATCTATGATGCACAATGATTGGAGAGTTTTTCTAGTGAAATAATACCAATTTTTTATTAAAATCAATTTGAATTTGTTTAAATTTGATCGGATATTTTCGAAATTCTCAAAAGTTCATATTTAACGCTGGGGACCATTTTTTTCATACCGGTATTGTAAACATCTCCAATACAAGTTGCCAACAGGGAGGGATCCGGATCTCATATATAGTCATAGAGTGGGGTTGGAAGAATTTGTCATTACAATGGGAAAACGTTGGATATTTGCTTCATTGCATGACTAGAACAGAAAAAGTACCAGTCTCCACTTTGGCACACGTTTGAATATAATAGGCCACCAACTGGTATTAATTAAGCAGAGAAAAGTGGGAGAGGTGCATTCTAACCGCGTGAAAATTCAAATGGAGGTTGTTACGACAACTGACAAGTGACAACGACTTGTCTACCACTAGGCCGGACTAATGAATTAAGAACAGATCATCTGCGCAGCAGTGGACAAGGTACATCTTTTTCGGGAGCAAGCCATCAGCAAGGGCAGGAGATCTATGAAAAGTCTTGTGGCTCTACGCAGGTAATAATACCATACACAACTTGAAACTGTCGTTTGTCAATGCCAATTTCTAGTAGAATTATAATATAGGCAATGGAAGAGTCCTTGTAATCCCACGCGCTAGTCTGTACTGATTACCAATTCATTCCGCGGACGTCTCTGAAAGTTTTAGGACCCTGCTTCGGCAGGAGTTCGCACTGACACACGTACTCCCTCTCCCTAAATATTTGTCATTTTTTGTTTTCTTGCTGTAAGTTTGATTAAATTTGTAAAAAATATGTGCAACATTTGTATCTCTAAATAAATTTATTATAAAAATAAATTCAACGATATATCTAATAATATTAATTTTGTACCATAAATATTAATATTTTTATAGATTTAGTCAAAGCTACTCCGATCCTATACTTTGCTAGCACATGCTTGTTATGTTGTACAGAACACGCAATCAACGTTGTCCTCCGGTATATCACTAGAAAACCACACTTGTGTGGGCCCACCTGTAGGAGTCCGCACCTTTTTGTCTTGGCCCAACGTGTTGCTTCGCATCCGAAAATTTCAAAATGTCTCCTTTCAGAAAAGTATCATCGAAATATAGTGTCTTTTTCTAGACTTGTTCTAAGTTTGACATCTCGAGAGCTGTTACAATAATGTACAGGCCAGTCTCCGCTTCCTGATTCTTTGAGCTTCACTCCTTATTCTCAAGCTTCACTTATTGATTCTTGTCTTGTGGAGTGATTTTGACGAGGGAACATGGTGAGGAGCAGGTGAGACATGATTCATTGAACGAGGAAAGGTGGTGAATGTTTTTTTAGCTCAGTGTAAATGAAGAAGTCATTCTTGACAGTTCCCTGCCAGAATCTTTAACCATTTGACAAGGCTCCACAAAATCTGCTAAAAAAGTCAGAAGCCAAGCTCTGTTGATGTCACGTCATGTGGACTTTTAACTCTATATGCCACGTCATATCTAAAGGCCAAACAAAGGGGTACGGACATCTGTGAACCACTTAAAAGTTTATAGACCCGGAAGTTCAATCTAAGCTCCAAGCGAAATGGTATGGACCTCCGGTGAATGACTTAAAAAGTTTATGGACCCAAAAGATCAACTTTTAGAGTTGATGGACCTAACTGAACCCCCGCATAAGTTAATGAATGTCTGGTGCATTTACCGTGAAAGATCCATTTTCTTTTAACAAGCAAAAGAAGGCATCCCTTTCCACCAATCTGAATGTTCGCTATTCTAGCTACTAGATGGTGCCACTCTGTCAACTTGTTTCAAACTAAAGCCCTTCTAAAGAGACATTTGGAGGTACAGTAGCAATAGTTGTGGCTACAGTAGCATGTCCTCGTCGAACAATATTATATAGGTTTGGGTATTGTGCCTTAAGGTGGTGTCTTCCCAACAAAATATCTTCCCAGAATCTGATTTGTGAGCCACTCCCAATTTGAATTTGCCTAGTTTTATGAATTGGTCGTTCACCCCCATCAGAACCATCCAAAAATGAGAATCACCAGCCTTCTTTGTGAGTTGTGTTATTGTTTTATCTTTGACATATCTATTCCTAAGTAATTGTTGCCTTAAACCATTAAACAACCACTTGCTTAGTAAGCATTTATTTTGTATGTCTAGGTTTGGAATAACTAGACCTCCATGATCTTTTGGTTGGCAAATAATAGACCACGATTTGCTAATCCATATTTTCCTTTTGGTTATCATACTGCTAAAAAAAACCTTGATTTATAATACTTAATTGTCTTTAGGACCGCCTTAGGTACCTCGAAAAAGGAGAGTATAAACATTGGTAGGCTAGACAAAACTGAATTAATCAACACAAGACGACCGCCCCAAGAGAGCAATTTTCCTTTTCAACTAGCTAATTTTTTCAATCCGTTCTTCAATTGTTTTCCAGTCTTTATTACTAAGCTTCTAGAAGTGCATTGGTAAGCCTAGGTAGCGAAAAGGTTAAGTGCCTCTAACTTGCATCCAAATAATTGTGAATATTGCCTTTCACAATGTTTGGCCTGCCCAAAACATAAAATCTCGTTCTTGTGAAAATTTATTTTTAGACCCGAAAATTATTCAAAGGTTGAAAGCAATAATTTCATATTCATTGCTTCTTGAATATCAGGATCCAAGAATACTATTGTGTCATCTGCATACCTGCAAGATAGATACACCCATCAGATGTGGTACTACCCCTTTCACCTGGCCATTCTGTTTATGGACTTTCAATAATCACATCCAAATTCTATTTATTTTGCAATGGAACCTTAGAATATGGACTTGATAGTCCCGTAAGAAGATCGGTGGCAGCATTCCTTATGTACACGGCTTGGAACATTTCCAAGGAAAGGAATAGGAGAATCTCTAAAGGCATGCATGTCTAACTCAATGGTTCATGTCTTCGGGCTAGCAAAAGAGAAGATGGCACTAAGGAGGGTAGCCTGTGCTCATTTGTGGATCCAGCGAGACTCTCATTTTGCTTCTTCCAGTGCTTTGTGTTTACCTTATTTGTAATGGTCTCATGTAACAAAATGTTCTCTCCTTAAATGAAGTGCTCCTGCAAATCATTCGAAGAAAAACTAAAATGTGTTGGGTTCAATCATATGGAACAGCTAATAAGTAAAAATATAAAATTTTAAATTTTAGTTCCTCAACTGTATAAGGTAATCATACTACGTGATTACACACAAAAACGACAATTGCAATGCAGTTGCATCTTACATTTATTTGTGCGATACAATTAGATGAATAATACTATAACCATGGAACGTCCACTATAAGATCAAATGGTGATTAAGAAACACCACGATACAGAATTCTCACATACATTCCTATTTCAGAATAGAATTCTCAACTAAGACCAACATTATACACAAGTTGCTATCCATTAAAGCATAAATTCCTCCATGCTGCAGCTCTGCTTCTGTATTGAGTCTTGACCCTGTAGTCAGAGCATCTATCCCAAATTTGAGATCTGAAAATATATGTACTTGATCTCTGTTGTTTTGACAGATCTGTTCTTGGTCATGAACAGTAAATCCACACTTTGTTCCTTTCATGGAACACTCCATTCTTTTATTTCTCCATCACTTGCTGATCGATCCATGGTAGATATCTGATCAAGAATTTCAGGAGACGGCAGTGATGTGCTGATTGTGTTTTTCCTTTACTTCCTGATACCAGTCCATGATCGAGCCTTCCAGTTGGATGGATGCATGAGAAGTCCATAAGTCAAGGAAGCGAGAGAGCAAATATGTCAGGCACTCGAACTCCTCATCCAGTCCATGCAACAGCTTCTTTCTCTTAGCTCCATGAAACGCTTGCCGTGTGCTTGGCCTGAAGATGCTTGCTCTTTCAACCTGGATGTATGCAGTGCCATGCCTAGACCTCCAAAGCATTTGGTAGACTGTTGCTTCCTCATTCTGGCAGAAGTAATCTATTGCTTCTGGCAGCATGATCTCCTCAAGTTGTCCCAAGGTAAAGACAGTATGCAAACAATGTTGCTCCTCACTGTAGATTGAAGCTATTGCAGGAAATTTATCCACATGCAACATGCCTTCTGAAGAGCCATGTGGTGCAAAGAGGACTCCACCTCTCAGATATGGATGATCACGTAGAGAACTTTTACATTCGGACAGTGAGGCCCTCTGTTTGTTGCACTCTGAGAGCAAGAGTTGGCACCGTAGACCTACTTCAATAACCGGTTCTAGAGAAACATGTCCTAATCCAGATAACTTGTCTACCTTGCTACCATGACAAAGGTTGTTCTTATCATGCTGCTTGCAACATAATGGGTTTGGGCGAAACCATTGTGTACCCAATCTGTGAGCATTGTCCCAATATTTTTTCTGGTGTGAATCAACATATGGTACCCATGAGAAGTCTTGAGTAGGTAGCTGCATAAGTTCTATCCTAATATTTTCAACCGTAGACTTGTTTAGAGGGGCAAACAGCTGTAAGCACTGAATTGCAACCCCAACTATGTCTGTACTCTCCGAAAGTTGTAGCTTTAAAGTAAGGCAAAAATCATCATTTGGTACTTTACTATCTTTTTGCATAAAGAAAAGCCAACCATCTATTCTATGCTCTGCACTAATAAATGGTGCCAACAGTAGAAACAAAGGGCGCTTGTTTGCCCTAATGATTCTATGCTGTAGTATCTTGCCAGCAAGAAGGTGCCTGATAAAAGGGTTAAAGGGCATGCAACACCGTGGCGTGCCACCAAGCTCTAGTAATCTTAGAAACTCGCTAGCACCATCTGCAAACCACTCAAATCTTTGAACAATGGATCTGTTCAAGTCATCGTTGTCGTGGTTAAAGATAAAAGAAACAAATGACCTGGTAGCATGCACAACCCGCTTAGGAACAGAGAAATTGCTTACTTCCTTTTCTATGTGTTCATCTTCTAGGATTCTCTGCCTGCATCTGTGCAGCGTGTCATCACACTCTTGAGCAGCAGACTTAAGCTTCCTACGCCAACGCAACAAGGATGTATCAGTGATATCCCACTTATCAGATGTCTGAAGAACAGCCTCCAGCCTGATGTGTGCCATCTCTAGCCTCTCAAGGTTTCGGAACGCATTTGAGTTGTGTTTATCTTCATATTTTTGAAGCAGACCAGATACGATTTGGCTTACTGACTCCTGAACAACTGCCGAACCGACAAACTCCGCCATTAGGATTCAAGCATCTACAATATCCCTTCCCTGTTCATGATATTCAACAGATAACAGTATCGATGAGAGATTAGACACATGAACTTTGGATCACAGGAAATGATTTAGCTTAATTAATGGGAGGAAGAACATACCTTTGGTCTTGAGGGCAAATCCCACGGTGTGGTAAGATGGGAACTTAAAGTCAAAGAGAAGACTGTGATGTAAAAGGCTTAGAGGGGGGAACGTGGTAGACAAGCCTGATAGAGAGGGCTGAGGTTTCGTGTTGATGATGGTCTCTGCTCTCTGGTAGCTCTCTGCAAGGGAAAATTGTCAAGAAGTCTTCGTCAAAGATGAGAACCTCTCTAGCTAATTAGTTCCATGTTTGAACGCAATAGGCCAAAAGGCATCATTTCGACAGATGTGGAAGAGTTGCACTGAAGTCACAGACAAGGACAGGAAAAGCAGAATACAGCCTGAAAATATTCCATCCACACACAGCAGTAGACAAGGAATTTGGAAAAGTCATGGCAATTATTTTTAGATGAAGCCAATATATGAGTCTTGGTCAGATCATTTTCATGCCACGCTAGTCTGTTGACCGATGCCTGATCAACTCACTAGCATTTTCTCTTATTTCAAACATGTTTCCCCTAATTGCTTGATGCCTTGTAAATTCCATCTAACGAACTACTGTCAGAGTGTCAGTGAAAAAGGATAGTGTTTGATACACAAAATTGCAACTGAGGGGGGAAAAAGGGACCATGTCTGTATAAAATCAAACACAAAACTGCAACTGAGGAAAAATTTCAGGCGGCAGTGATGTGCTGCTTGTGTTTTTCCTTTACTTCCTGATACCAGTCCATGATCGAGCCTTCCAGTTGGATGGATGCATGAGAAGTCCATAAGTCAAGGAAGCGAGAGACCCAATATGTCAGGCACTCGAACTCTTCATCCAGTCCTTGCAACAACTTCTTTCTCTTAGCTCCATGAAACGCTTGCTGTGTGCTTGGCCTGAAGATGCTTGCTCTTTCAACCTGGATGTATGCAGTGCCATGCCTAGACCTCCAAAGCATTTGGTAGACTGTTGCTTCCTCATTCTGGCAGAAGTAATCTATTGCTTTTGGCAGCATGATCCCCTCAAGTTGTCCCAAGGTGAAGATAGGATGCAAACAATGTTGCTCCTCACTGTTGGTTGCTGCTATTGCAGGAAACTTATCCACAAGCAGTATGTCTTCTGAAGAGCCATGTGTTGCAAAGAGGACTCCAGCTCTCTGATATGGATGATCACGTAGAGAACTTCTACATTCGGACAGTGACGCCCTCTTTTTGTCGGACTCTGAGAGTGAGACTTGGCACCAGAGACCTACATAAATAACCGGTTCTAGAGAAACATATGGTAATCCAGATGACTTGTCTAGCTTGCAACTATGACAAAGTTTGTTCTTATCATGCTGCTTGCAACATAATGGGTTTGGGCGAAACCATTGACTGCCAAATCTGTGAACATTGTCCCAATGTTTTTTCTGGTGTGAATCAACATATGGTACCCACGAGAAGTCTTCTGTAGGTAGTTGCATAAGCCTTTTCCTAATATTTTCAACCGTAGACATGAAAATAGGGGCAAACAGATGTAAGCACTGAATTGCAACCCCAACTATGTCCGTACTCTCCGAAAGCTGCAGTGTTACAGTAAAGCAAAAATCATCATCCGGCTCATTAGGATCTTTCTGCATGAAGTAAAGCCTACCTTGAATTCCATGCTCTGCACTAAAAAATGGAGCCAACTGTAAAAACAAAGGGCATTTGTTTGCCCTAATGATTCTATGTTGTAGTATCTTGCCAGCAAAAAGGTACCTGATAAGAGGGTCAAAGGGCATGTGACACCGTGGCGTGCCAACAAGCTCTTGTAATCTCAGAAACTCGCTAGCACCATCAGCAAACCATTCAAATCTTTGAATAATGGATATATTCAAGTCATCGTTGTCGTGGTTAAAGATAGAAGAAACAAATGACCTGGTAGCATGCACAACCCGCTTAGGAACAGAGGAATTGCTTACTTCCTTTTCTATGTGTTCATCTTCTAGGATTCTCTGCCTGCATCTGTGCAGCGTGTCATCACACTCTTGAGCAGCAGACTTAAGCTTCCTACGCCAACGCAACAAGGATGTATCAGTGATATCCCACTTATCAGATGTCTGAAGAACAGCCTCCAGCCTGATGTGTGCCATCTCTAGCCTCTCAAGGTTTCGGAACGCATTTGAGTTATGTCTCTTCACATTTTTGAAGGATACCAGATACGATTTGGCTAACAGACTCCTGAACAACTGCAGAACCGACAATCTCTGCCATTAGGATTCAAGCATCTGCAATATGCGTTCCCTGTTCAGGATATTCAACAGATAACAGTATCGTTGAGAGAACTTTGGATCACAGGAAATGATTTAGCTTAATGGGAGTAAGAAGCCACCTTTGATTGAATTGCATGGACGTGAATGGTGGACAGCTATCCAGTTTATAGATATGTCTTGAGGTCAAAATGACACCGTGTGGTAAGATGAGAACTTAAAAAGAAGACAGAGATGTCCAAGGCTTTAAGGGGGGAAAAGTGGTAGACTAATTTTTTTCCAAAAAAAGTGGTAGACAAGTCTGATAGAGAGGGCGGAGTTGTTGTGTGGATGTTGGGCTCTGCGAGGAAAATTTTGTCAAGAAGTCTTTGTCAAAATTTTTTTGATCTCTCGTTAATTACTTCCATGTTTGAATACAATAACTATGTGTAATTTTGCTCATTTTCTTTGTGACTTTCTTTGTTTCATCAACCTGAGCATGTAACCTCTATTTACTTGTTTAATAAATCCCAACTGGCATTTATAAGAGGAAGAGTTGCATTGATGTTTCGTGGAAAATCAATTGGAGAATGGTGCGGTGACAAACAAGGACAGGAAAAATGGTGAAATACAGCCCGATAATATTTGGTCCACACGGCTGTAGACAAGGAGCTTGGAAAAAGTCATGCCTGCTTGTCACTGGCAATTTCTCGTAGTTGAAACCAATATACGAGTCTTAGTTCATTATCCATTCCACGCTAGTCTGTTGACCGATGACTGATTTAACTCACAAGCATTTTCTCTTATTTCTCACAAGTCCCCCCTAATTTTTTGATGCCCTGTAAATTCGGTCCAATGGAATACTGTCAGAGTTTCAGTGAAAAGGATTGCAATTCCCCCTCAAAAAAAAAAAAGGATTGCATTTGATGCACGAAACTGCAACTGAGAAGAAAAAGGACTATGCCTGTATAAAATGGATCAGAAATATGGCAAAGAAGATCATAATGCCATCTAGCTAAAAGAAAGATTGATCCTATATCAACAGTATTAATTAAGATTGCCGCGCAAATACGACCCATTCATATTTGTGCTTTACTGTTCCTCGTAGGCTAGTTCATATTTGGATCAGCTATTCAACTAAGACAGGGTGCTCTGCTCCTGCTACAATTGTAGCGGAACAGATTGTGGGCTTGAAGGTTGGCAGCAGTCGACCGTACCTTGACTCCTTGAGAGCACCTGCGTGTGTGATGGGAAAGGGTGGCGTCGCCTCAGCCGTCCTCTCCGGTGGACGGCGGCACGCGCTCTTCCACCTCCCCATGGTGCTCGGCGCCGCAGCAGCGCACCGCGTACCTCTCCATGTCCGCTCCCCAGGGTTCTTTTTTATTTTTAATCCTTTTTTAACCAATATTTTAATAATAACCGCTCCCAAAAACAATAAGCAGAGCTGACCCTTTTGGTCGCGCCAGAGCAGGTGATGCGACGGCAACACTCGCACCATATGCATTGGCGCGACAAGGGACGCCACGGTGGCGTCAACCGCTGACCCGAGCTGGCGTGGTGCTTGTTGGGGCCCACCCTGTCGCGCCAGCGACTTAGGCGTGACAAGCCTTGTCACGCCAGGCGGGCTGGCGCGACAGGCCCATAAAAGGTCGCGGCCCCAACTCCTTTCTTCCTTCTCTCTTCTCTCTCCCTCTTTCTTATGAAGTTGTGAGCTCCTTTTGGAGCTCCCTTCTCTCTGTTCTCTTTCTTCCCTAATATTTTCAACCATAGACTTGAAAAGAGGGGAAAACTGCTGTAAGCAATGAATTGCAACCCCAACCATGTCTGTACTCTCGCGTCTTCCTCGACGTACTCAACAGCCTCTCGATTCGACTCGAGGTGAAAGCTGAGCTCAACCGGACGCCGGCCGACCCCGCGGAGGGGGAGGCCGACCAAGCAGCGGACGTCGTCTAATACGAGGCTCTTCTGCACGGCTACAGCAGCAGCGACCTCGCTGGTGACGTCAACGACCGCAAGAGCACCGGCGGGCTCATCTACTTCGTCAACATTGGGCTAATCTCATGACAATATAGCATGCAGAAGGTTGTGGCCCTCTCATCGTGTGAAGCAGAATACATCGCGGTGACGACCGCGACATGTCAGGGTGTTTGGCTGGCCCGTCTCTTCGCAGACATGGTCGACGTTGAGACCAGAGCGCCAACCCTGCGGATGGACAACAAGTCCGCCATCTCCATGATCAAGAATCCAGTGCATCATGATGGGACGAAGCACATTGATGTCCAGTACCATTATTTCTAGGAGTGTATAGACCGAGGCCTGATTGATGTCCAATTCAATAGAACGGCGGACCAGTTAGGTGACATCTCACTGAAGCCCTAGGCCACCACAAAGAGCTCCAGAGCAAGATGGCCTCACAAATCTTCTTCCTGCTGGCCACAGAGCTTAGGGGTGATTTGTTAGTCAATAAGCCTGTTGCCGGATATGTACAGTGTAGGCTAAGCTGTTTTCCCTTTGCTGTTTTCAGATAGTTATCAGAGAGTGTAACTACGCACGACGTCACTTGTCGTGCATGATATCTGCGGCACGTCCCAGCGGTGTGGGATGGTGCATCATGAGCACGAGTGTGCCGCCACAATTCTGACCAACGTGGCCTTGTAAGACTGCATTTATATTCTGCAATTAAACCCTGAAAAC